CCCAGCGACTGACGTTTCCGAGGTCTGTGAGAGACTGCAGGCCGCCGAGGACCATCGTCTTGTCCTTGTCTGCAGTGTTCGCGTCCCTGTCCTTGAAGGGATTGATCTTCAGCTTTCCGAGCACGTTTTTGAGCGTCTTTATGTGGCTCCACATCTCCTCGGTTGCGTTGGAACCTGTATCAGATCCTTCGGGGGGCCATCGGAATCGTGTCTTCTAAGCTCGTTAAGCAGATGTGGATATCTTCGAGTCGCTCCTCGGTCGCGCCCGTTCTCGCCTCGAAGGTTTTCCCAAGATTTGCCACGCTGCGCTGCAACCCAGAAACTGTATGTCGTAGGGGCTGAACCTCCTGCTTCATGATGGCCGCGATCTGCGCGAGCGTGGCCGCCTGCGCAAGTTGGGCCCCTTCTGGAGTACTCGGAATGCCGGGCGTAGAGATGGAGTGACGTTCTGGACGAGGTGTGTTGGGGGGTGGGGAGTCGAGTTAGCCGAGGCCATCCATTCGGTGGTGGGGGCTGAAGAGACGCTACCGCACGTCCCGCTCTCCTTGACGTCCTTCACGCTCCCCCCGCGTGGCGTGCCCGGCGCCCGGCTCTGGCGAGGCGTGCTGGTCATCGAAGTGCAGCGGTGGACGCGGAAGTGAAAATGAGAGCAAACAGGAAATGGGCACGAGGTAAGGTGTGCAGGATAGAGAGATTCAGTATGCGGCTGTGAACCCTGCTTGGGCCAGTGCTTGAGCCAGTCCCAATCACAATCCGCAACGTACCCAATTCCATACGCGAGGGGAATCTGTGCACGAGTGCTCCGCGCGAAAGGGCACATCACAATATGCGCACGATGTGCGTTGCCCTCATCTCCGCCGTGCTTCACAGGAGCCCGAAAAAATGGCGACAGTTGCGCAGTTCGCAACCTCCCAGGGAGCCGCGAGGTCTTGGCTGGATCCGCGTGCCCCCGACTCCCTTGGACCTCCCAGGAACCCACGAAATTGCCGGCAGTTGAGCAGTTCGCAGCAACCCATGGATCAGCGAGGTCTCAAATGGGTGCTCGTGGCCCTCGACTACGCTGGACCTCCCACGAGCCCGCCGCAGTGGTGACAATTGCGCAGCTCGCAGCCTCCCAGGGAACAGCTAGGTCCCAAATGGGTTCGCGTGGGCCCCGACCCCGCTGGACCTCCGAGGAACCCACGAAAGTGGCGACAGTCGCCGTTCACAGCCATCCAGGGAGCAGCGAGGTCCCACAAGGGTCCGTCTGATTGGCCCCGGACCCCGCAGGACCTCCAAGGAACCCACGAAACCGACGACCGTGGTGCAGTTCGCAGCCGCCCAGGTCGCCGCGAGGTTTCGGCTGGATACGCGCGCCGACAGTTACGCAGTTCGCAACCTCCGAAGGAGCACCGAGGTCCCACATGTGTCCGCGTGGCCCCCCGACGCTGCTGGACTTCCCAGGAATCTACGCAACTGGCGGTCGTTGCGCAATTCGCCGGAGAAGGGGGGCAATGAGGCAGGAGGAACAGGAAGAGGAGAAGGACGAGGAGGAGGAAAAGAAGGAGGATGAGATCCAGTGTCAACCCAAGAGTCATCAACTATGTTGGAATAAGCCCTCCCTCCTCTTCATAGGACCCTACAACGGTTTATTTCCAGTGAGGGAATTTCGTCTTTGGCAGACAACCATTTGAAGATCCTGAAGCACGCCAGAACATCGTTCTCGGGATTCCAGCGCCGCGGATCAACCTGACTGCTGCGTTTGATCGGTCCTGAATCGTGCCAACGCGCCATTCCTGGGACTTCAACACCGCGAATCAACGTAATGTTGCACCCTCAGGGTCCTGACTCCTTCCAAATCGCCAGTTCTGGTTCGTTGATAATGGGAATCCGTGAAACTCTTGCAAATGTTATAGACGAATGTGCGCGGCGCTAAGGGGAGAGCCACATTTTGAAAACCATCCGCTTTCAATCCGTGAAGCTCTCGCACATTGTTTTAAAACGAATGTGCGCGGCGCTACGGCGAGAGCCACATTGTGAACACCATCCGCCTTGAATCCCTGGAACAGTTGTTTTTTTGCAAGCGGAATTTGCGCAGCGTGGAGGCGAGAGCCACATTTTGAAAACCAACCGCATTCCATCAGTAAAACCGTTGCCAGTGTTTAAGCTTTGGATTCACAAGCGACTAGGAAGTCTCAAGCGAAGCGCCTGGCCCGACCTAACAAATGGCCTCAGGGAGCGATGGGGAGAAGTTATTCATAAGGCAAAATAATGGAAGAGGAGGCGGAGGAGGAGGAGGTGGAGGAGGAGGAGGAGGGGGAGGAGGCGGGAGGGGGAGGAGGCGGGAGTTGGAGGAGGAGGAGGAGGAGGAGGAGGACAAGGAGGAAAAGGATGAGGAAAAGGAAGAGGAGGAGGATCAGGATGAGGAGGGGGAGGAGGTGGAGGAGGAGGAGGAGTAGAAGGCGGAGGAGGAGGAACACGAATATTACTAATCTGAATACGAATGCTAATGCTAATGCTAATACTAATACTCATACTCATACTCATACCCATACTCATACTCATACTCATACTCATACTAATACTAATACTAATACTAATACTAATACTAATGCTAATGCTAATACTAATACTAATACGAGTACTAGTACTAATACGAATACTAATACTAATACTAATATTTATATTAATACTAATACTAGTACTACTACTACTACTAATACTACTACTCATACTAATACGAATACTTCTGCTAATGCTAATAGTAACACTAATACTAAGGCTGAGACTAAGACTAAGACTAAGACTACTACTAAGACTCATACTAATTCTAATGCTAACGCTAACGCTACTGCTAATGGTAATACTAATACTAACACTAATACTAATACTAATACTAACACTCATACTTATACTAATATTAATACGAATACTAAGACTAATACTACACCTAAAACTGATACTAATACTAATACGAATACTAATACTAATAATACTTCTAATACTCATATTAATACTAATATTAATACTAATACGAATACTAATACTAATATTATTACTCATACTCAGACTAACAATAAGACTAATGCTACTACCACTTTTGCTACTAATTCGAATCGTAATACGAATATTCAAGGTACTAATAATACTAATACTAAACTCATACTAATACTAATACTAGTGCAACTACTCATACTGGTACTCATACTTATACTAATACTAGTACTGATGCTAATGCTAATACTAACACGACTAGTAATACTAATAGGTTCACTAATACTAATACTAGTACTACTACTAATACTACTACTACGAATACCAATTCTAGTACTAATACTAATACTAATGCTACTACTACCAACACTTATACTAATTCTACTACTACTACTAACACTACTGCTACTACTAATACGAATCTTATTGTTATTGCTAATACTACTACTCATACTCATACGAATACTACTACTAATACCACTATTAATACTCATATTCGTATTATTACGAATACTACTACGAATACGAATACCAATACTAATACTAATACTAATACTAATACTGATTTTAATGCTAGTACCTAGTACTAATATTAATACTGATATGCATATTCACACTAGTACGAATACGAATGCGCATGCGAATACGAATACGAATGCGAATGCGAATGCTAATACTAATGCTGATGCTAATACTAATACTAGTGCGACTACTACTACTATTAATACTATTACTAATACTAATACTGGTACTAGTACTAGTACTAGCATTACTACTACCACTAACACTAATACTACTACTCATAGTAATACTAATACCACTACTAATATTACTACTAACATGCATACTAATACTAATACTACTACTAATACTAATACTAATACTGTTACTAATACTAATACTATATTAATACTGGTACTAATAATAATACTAATACGGTTTCTAATACTAATATTCAGATTACTACTAATGCTCATACTAATAGTCGTAGTATTAATACTACGATTGAAATCATTGTTATCACTAGTTATAGGAGGAGGGGGAGGGGGAGGAGGAGGAGGGGGAGGGGGAGGGGGAGGAGGAGGAGGAGGAGGAGGAGGAGCAAAGGAGGAGTGGAGACCACAATGCTTCATCCAGAACGAGAGGCCAACACACAGGACTGTTTCTGGGGGACACAAGTCATCAGCTTCCCAGATGGAGAGCGGATGGTTTTCACAATGCGGCTTTCGCCCCAGCGCCGCGCACCATGTCTTACACGTTAGCAGCCGTTTCAAGGTTGGAAGGTGGCTCCTTTTCAACATGTAGCTTTCACTTCAGCAGCGCCGCGCACATTCGTCCCTAAAACGTCGGCAGCCGTCTCTAGGGGTCGTATGGTCGAAGTCTTAGGAATAGTGTTCTGGCACGGTTTAGGATTGTTAGCCCGCAGCAGTACCGTTGCTTTGCGGTGTTGAAGTCCTGGTATCGGTTTTCAGGCGCGACTTCGGAATGTCAAGACGCAGCAGTCACCTTGAAACGCTGTGCTGGCACGATTGAGACACATGATGAGGGACAACATTGTGACATCGCCCTGGGTTTACACTGGTCCTCCTCCTCGTCCTTCTACTCCTCGCCCTCCTCCTCCTCCTCCTCCTGTTCCTCCTCCCGTTCCTCTTCCTCAAATGCGGAACTGTAGTGCCAGAGCTCGACGATTGGGCAGTTCGTTGCCCAATCGTATGGCGCCTCGCCAGATGCGGTTGTTGAGTTCGGTCGTTCTCTGCAGGCTTCTGATGGTGAGCTGTTTTCGTCGATGATCCTAACGAGGTTAAAGTAGTTTTGGCTCTGCGGAGAGGGGGCTTTGTCCAATGTGGTCACAGTCACAGTCACAGTCACAGCCCGTTCCTCCTCCTCCCGTTCCTCCTCCTGTTCCTTCTCCTGCTCGTCCTCCTCCTCGCCCTCCTCCTCCTTCTCCGCCTCCTCCTCCTCCTCCTCCTTCGCCTCCACCCGCCCTTCCGTGGCAAGCGGCCCCCTCCCGGCCGCCCCGTCGCGGAATGGCCGCCCTTCGTCACCCGACCGCCTGGCCTCGGGCCTTGCGCCCTGCGTTGCGCGCGGCGCTGGCGGGCGGCCGGGGCGCCGCCACGTACGCCGCGTCTGTCAACAAGGGCGCCGTGTGGGGGCCTTCAGCTGCCGCGCGTGTGAACGTGAGGGGGCGGGAGGAGAAAGAGGAAGAGGGAGGTTGAGGAGGAAGAGGAGGAGGAGGAGGAGGAGGAGGAGGAGGAGGAGGAGGAGGAGGAGGAGGAGGAGGAGGAGGAGGAGGAGGAGGAGGAGGAGGAGGGGGAGGAGGAGGAGGAGGGAGGAGGAGGAGGAGGAGAGGAGGAGGAGGAGGAGGAGGAGGAGGAGGGAGGAGGAGGAGGAGGAGGAGGAGGAGGAGGAGGAGGAGGAGGAGAGGAGGAGGAGGAGGGGAGGAGGAGGAGGAGGAGGAGGAGGAGGAGGAGGAGGAGGAGGAGGAGGAGGAGGAGGAGGAGGAGGAGGAGGAGGAGGAGGAGGAGGAGGAGGAGGAGGAGGAGGGGAGGAGGAGGGGGAGGAGGAGGAGGAGGGAGGAGGAGGAGGAGGAGGAGGAGGAGGAGGAGGAGGCTCAAGTCCGTAGCGTGGCCCAGGCGTCAGCAGCGGACGGAGACTTTCTGGCATTGGGGGGCGCCCGAGAGGCGCGCACGGCCCCAGCAGCTCTCCCCTGACATCACCAGTCAGGGCACATTCGGTACTCAACTGCCCAGCTCGTCCTCTTTGCCAGCCACACGTGTTTGATGGCACCGTGGAAGGATGCGTCGCTTCAGTTTCTTTCTTCGCTCCAGGGGGCCGAGCCCTGGACGTGTGGTCACTGTGGCACAGGAGGCAGCTTTGCGACCAAGATGCAGTGCCGCCAGTGCTTCGCCCCTGCGCCGAAGCACATCCAGGCGGCCATCACGCGTGCGTCCCGCTCCTCCCCGGTGCGGCGACCGTGGCAGACGGCCAACCCCCCAGCAGGGGGCAAGGCCAAAGGCAAGGGCAAGGAGAAGGGAGACAAGGGCAAGGACAAGGGCGTGGCTGGCTCCGCTCCTCGCGGCACTGCTGGCGGTGCTTGGGGCTACTACGGGGCTGGCACTGACCTGCTCAAGTCCAAGGCAGCCGAGCAGCCCGACCCCATCGCGGTGCTCGACAAGTCGATCGGCATGCTTGAGTCCCTCGCCGACCCCAGTCTCGGGTCCATCATCGAGGCCAAACGGGCGGAGAGGGCGGCCCTTGTCGCCCAGAAGCGGGCAGGCAAGCCTCTGCACCTGCAGCTGCAGGCGCTGGAGGGCAAGATGGCCGCCGCGCAGCGCAAGCTCGCTCGCCAGCGCGATGAGGTCGTGCCCGAGCTTCAGCAGCGCCTGGCGGAGGCTCAGCGGATGCAGGAGGCGGCCAGCAAGGAGCTGGAGCAGCTGCAGGGGGAGAAGGCTCAGTTGGCCAGGCGAGTCGTTGCGGAGGAGCAGGCCCCAGTGGGGGCAGCGGGCCCTCTCGGCGGTGGCCCCCATTGCGGGCAGGCGGTCATCAGCCAGCTCGTGGCGAACCTGGAGAAGCTGGTGGGGGACACCGAGGGCGACGGCGACTCGGTGCCCAAGCCGCTCGTGGAGTCCGTCCAGAGCTTGCTCAAGCTGGTCAAGGAGCTCCCTCAGGCCTCAGGGGCCCCCGCTGCTGCTGCCGCCGCGCCTCCTGAGGGGTCTGGTGCAGCGGCGGCTGCCGCGCCCCCAGGGGGGCCTGCGGCTGAGGCCTCGGCCGATGGCGGCGGCGGCTCAGTGGAGGAGCAGAAGCGCAAGCGGGACGAGCTGGTGGACCAGTACCTCAGCGGGCTGCCCGAGGAGGAGCGAGCCGCCAAGCGGGCGGTGCTGGGCTCCTTCTACGACCACCACGGCGAGGAGGCGCTCCCCCAGGCGCCTCTTTGATGGGCCCGCGGGCCCGCCCTTGCTCGACTGGACCACCTACGGGGACGGCCAGTTCTGGACGAGCGAGGGCCTTTACGAGGGGGAGCTGCACGGGTTGGCTTCTCCGAGGGCGGCGGGGACGCGTACTCTGGCCAGGGCGACGGCTACTGCGCGCCCGCGGCCATGGGCAGGCAGCCACCGCCCGTCGAACCCAACACTTCTCAGTCCATCTACCTCGATGGCAGGTCGCAGCACGTTGGGGATGACCCAGCTGGGCAGCCTCAGAGGCGCCGACGCACTCGGCGAGGAGATCGACACGTCATCGCCGCCACCTTCAATGCCAATCTCTCCTGGGCTCGCGTCGAAGAATTCATGGAAGAGGGGATCGGCCAGCTCATCAAGAGCGGCGGCGTCCCCGTCATTGCGGTGCAGGAGCACGCGAAGCCCGCCGAGTGGTTCCACGTTACTGCGGCGGCGCAAGAGCGACGGGGCTGGCGAGTTGTGGGTGCGCCTGCCGTGCGCACGGCAGAGGGCGGCTACTCCGCGGGTGCGGCGCTGGTCACACCGCGCTGCCTGAGCCTCAGCCTGGCGCCAGACCGGCGTCGTGGGACATCTCCCCCGCGGGCGCCGCAGGCAGGCTGTGCTTGGGCATGACCGAGGTCAAGGGCATTGGCTGGGTGGCCTTTTTCTCGGTGTACTTGTTCACGGGCAAGCCCGTCACCTGGGCCTTGAACGCGGCCCCGCTGGACACCATCGTGCACTGGGTCTGCCAGATGAGGATCCCCTGGATGGCCATGGGTGACTTCAACAATGAACCGCACGCCATCCTCGACAGCCCCTGGAACCAGGAGGCCAAGGGCCAAGTTCTGGCCTGGCAAGGGGAAGGAGGCACATGCAGGTCCAAGGTGGTAAAGCAGGGCGTGGAGGAGTTTAAGGATCGGGTCATCGACTTCTTCTGGGTGGATGCGAGGCTGGCCGTGGTCTTTTGCCCAGTGAAGTCCTTCGAGAACATGCCCTACAGGCCGCGCAGGCCGACTTGGATCCGCGCCGACAAGCCTTGGCACGCGTGCCAGATCCAGGTTCTCAAGGGTCCCAAGCAGTACCCCATGACTAGGCCGCCACCTGTCAGGCAGCCCGAGATCCCGCAGGGCTACCCCAAGCTCGACCTGCTCCAAGGCTCGCAGCAGTGCCTGGACCAGTGCTGGAGGGGGTTTTGCTCTGCAGCTGAGGCCTAGCTTCGATCTCTGTTCGGCTGGACGGAGTCGGAGGCACGCAGATACGAAGGCCGAGGCTTGACTCCCGAGGTGGTGCAGAGACAGCTTCTTCCGAAGCATGACAGCCCCGTGGCTGATCGAGGCCCAGCCAGGGCCTGGCGTTGGGCCGCGGGGGAACTGGCCTGGATAGGCCAACTCGTCTGCTGCGTCTTGCGGGGCCAGTCGGTGCCCAAGGACAAGTCGGAGGCCCCAGCAGGCCAGGCTACCACTTCGGGAGAAGGGCCTCCTCGATCCTACAACGAGGAGGTCACAGGCCAGCTCAGACGGGCCTGGAGGAAGCTGCTCCAGGCGAGGCACCACTGGGACCAGCTGGAGCCCTGGAGCGCGGGGTTATTGCCAGCGCTACGCACCCTCGCCGACGTGGAGCCCCACATCATCGGCGCGCAGGCCATCTTCGCGCTGCAGCAGTTCGCCAAGGTGCGGGCCCAGACCTGGGAGCAGCACCTCATGCGGCAGCGCTCCAAGCGGTTCTACGAGCGCCTGGGCGCGAAGTTCCCAGGCTCAGGGGGCTACTTGCACCGCATCTGCCACTGGAAGCAGGCGTGGAAGGAGCCCATCTCGTCGGCCAAGAAGCTGAAGCTGCCAGCGGACCCGCAGCTCGCGGTCAATCAGGAGGCGCAGGAGTGGGCTAGCATTTGGCGCGCTGGGTCAGGTGACTACACCAAGTTGTGGCAGGACACTCAGGTCCAGACCCAACGGATGGCCCACGCGCAGGAGCTGCCCATCATCGACGCAATCCAGGTGCGCACCATATGTCGCAGTTACAAATGGAAGACTGGGCTCGGGCTTGACGGCTGGCACTTCGGGCACCTGGCCTGGCTCAGTGACGAGGCTTTGACCAGCCTCGGGGACATCCTCATGTTGTGCGAGCGGCTCTGCTCGTGGCCCACGGCCATGCGCATGCTCATCCTTTTCCTGGTCGCCAAGGAAGACGGCGGCGGCAGGCCCATCACCCTTTTTCCCACGCCAGTGCGCATCTGTGAGGCTGTTCGTGATCCCTTGATTCGGCGGTGGGGGCGGGCCCACGTGAGGCCCTACGACTGGGCATCACCAGGGCGCAGCAGTGAGCATGCTGTTTGGAGAGCGATGTTGGATGACGAGGCCTTGGAAGGTACCTGTTTTGCGTCCCTCACCGCCTTGATGGATTTGGAGAAGGCTTATGAATATGTAGCGCTCAACTTGATTTGGATTCTCGGCATGGTGCAGCAAGCGCCCATGAGTGTCTTGGCCCTTTCTCTGGAGTCGTACGCCTTCCCTCGGGCGGTCCGAAAGGGCCAGGCCGTCGCCGACGCCATTTGTACCTACGTGGGGTTGCCCGCGGGGTCGAAGTGTGCCAATCGCTTCCTGAAGATTGTGCTGTATCCGATCCTGGACGTCGTGGCCCGATGGCCAGGGGCCAAGCTGGAGATCACGAAGTTTGTGGACGACTTAGCCCTGCGGATGGTGGGCAGGAGCGCACAGCTGAAGGTGATCTTCCCCGACCTGGCCCGCACCCTCATACGCCTTTTGGAGTCGCCGCTGCAGCTCAAGGTCTCGAAGGGTGAGGGAGGCAAGTCTAAGTTCGTCTCCAGCGACGGCTCCTTGGCACAGGAGCTGGCACAGCCCATGGCGGACATCGGCCTGCAGCACGGTGAGAGCGAGCGCTGGTTGGGCGTGGACTACCAACCCCAGGGCCCCCGGAAGAAGGACACCAGAGCCAGACGGGTCAAGACCGCTCGAGGCCGCTGGCACAAGGCGGCGGCCCTCAAGCGCCGAGGGGTGAGGGTGCGCCCTGTGGTGCAGCAAGGCCTCAAAGCGTCAGTGGCGTATGGGGCGACCTGCGCTGGCACTCCTCCTGCCGTCCTCAAGTTCGTCATGGCCAAGACAGCTGCCGTGCGTGCGGGGGCTGGGACCTTTCGTTCGGGCACGTTGGGCTGGGCGATCGCGCCGAGGACGGACGGCGCCGAGCAGCTCAGGATCGCCCCTCTTCGGGCATGGCTACGCGAGGCCTGGGACCAGCCCGAGAGACGGAAGGAGATGGCCCACGCGTGGGGCCGTCAGTGGCCCAAGGTGCAGCGTGCCCTCACCTATGGCCCCGCCAAGTTCGACGCCTGGAAGATGGTGCGGGGGCCAGCGGCTGCCACCATCCTGACGGTGCACGAGCTGGGATGGCACATGGAGGACGCCTGGACCATCCTCGACGGCGTCCACGACAAGTGGGACATCCGCGAGGTCGCCCCCCTCGAGATCTTGCGATCTGCAGAGAGGGCGGTCGCAAAGAAGAAGCTCATGGACTGGGCGCTAGCTGATGAGGAGCGCCAGCCGCTCCGACCCACTCCCTTCCTGTTGCCAGTCAAGCAGCTCAAGCGCTCCAAGACCACGGAGGCCTGGACGAGACACCACATCAACAGTGCCAGGACGGTCGCGCTAGGAGGTTACCCTGTACAGACGGTGTGCTACGAGCGCGGCCAGGTCACGAGCCCTCTGTGCCCCTCGTGCGGCAAGAAGAAGGGCACATTGATGCATGTGTATTTTCTCTGTGATGCAGATGTGTGCGTCACGATTCGTGATGGGCTCACGGAGCCGACTCTCAAGAACAGTTTTCGAGACGTGGTGCATTTGGGCGAGACGGCCGCCACGAAGGAGGAGCAGGGCTGCAGAGGCGGCGACACGCTTTTCTGGAAATGGGCTCGCGGCCTGACCGCGGACCCCGTGGCTGACTACCAGGTGCCCACGCCGCCGGACGAGCACCAGTGGGGCGATCCTGACGGCGAGATGGTGCTGTCGGGCTGGCCCGACGTGGAGGAGGTATCCACGGGAGGCTTCGCCGCCAAGTGAGATTCAGTCATTGTTCGGTGCTGTGCCAGTTGCGAGGCCCACGTCGGCCCACTGTGAGATCTGGGCTGTGTACCAGGCTGTAAAGCACTCGGTAGGGCTCGTAGGGCTCCTGATAGATATCAAGCAGGTCGTTCAGGGGCTCTTGGCGGGCAAAGAATTTTGTGTGAGTAGCGAGCAGATAACCGCGCACCTTTGGAGGCTTGTTTGGGATGCCCTGGAGGATCAGTGTCTCATCCCAGGGGAGTCCCTTCAAGTAGTCAAGATTAAGTTTCACATGACCAAGGCCCAAAGAGCCTGTCTTTCGGGGGAGAGTCTTGTGCGTTTTGATATGAATAGGTGTGCTGACGCTCGTGCAAGAGAAGGAGCTGACCCATATGCCGCCCCAAAGTGGAAGGTGGAACAGGTCCAGCAGTGTCTTAAAATCCAGAAGAGGCTGCTACAGTATGCAGCATCTTTCCGAGTGGATCTTAGTGAAGCCAAAGCTACCACCACGAGCCTGCCGTCCCCTGCTGGTCGGACTCGGAGGAGCGAACGTATTGCCCGCCCTTTGGCAGTCGCGCCTGAGCGGGCCTATCGTTTTAGGCTCCTAGAGGGTGGTAAGTGGCAGTGTCTGGAGTGATCTCGCCTCGTCCGCGTGGCCGCTCGTCTCAGCGTGGCCAGGCGGGAGTTGTGCCCTGGATGGGGGGGAGCCATTTCAAAAGGCAGGGCCCGCTTGAAAGTCAAGGCCGTGGTCCACGGCGAGTGTGTGACGGACCAGATCCGCGCGGCTGCGGCTGAGATGGCTGCGGAAGCAAGGGGGTCTGGGTCCCAGGTTTCACCCCCGCCCCCACCTCGGGAACACGAAGTGGTTGAGAAGGTGGGCTATGCTGTGTGCCGAATTTGTGGGGCTTTCGCCCGTTCCCGAGCCCAGAAGTTGTTGCGGGAATGCGAGGGCCCTTTGGCGAAGGGTATTGCCGCCCATCGGTGGCGGAAGCTCTATCGTGATCGAATCCTGGACGGTAAGAATCCGTACACGGGAAAGCCCGTGCGAGAGCAGGATTGGTCTGTTTGGCCAAGGTGATGTGTGGTCCTGAGGCCCATCCCCAAGAGCCCCCCAGTCAAAAAGAGGAGGAGGAGGAGGAGGAGGAGGAGGAGGAGGAGGAGGAGGAGGAGGATGATGATGAGGAGGAGGAGCAGGAGGAGCAGGAGGAGCAGGAGGAGAGGAGGAGGAGGAGGAGGAGGAGGAGGAGGAGGAGGAGGAGGAGGAAGAGGAGGAGGAGGAGGAGGGAGGAGGAGGAGGAGGAGGAGGGGGGGAGGAGGGGGAGGGGGAGGGGGATGGGGGGGAGGGGGAGGGGAGGGGGAGGAGGAGGAGGAGGGGAGGAGGGGGAGGAGGAGGGGAGGAGGAGGAGGAGGAGGAGGAGGAGGAGGAGGAGGAGGAGGAGGAGGAGAGGCGGGAGGAGGAGGAGGAGGAGGAGGAGGAGGAGGAGGAGGAGGAGGAGGAGGAGGAGGAGGAGGAGGAGGAGGAGGAGGAGGAGGAGGAGGAGGAGGAGGAGGGGAGAGGAGGAGGAGGAGGAGGAGGATGGTGGGGAGGAGGAGGAGGAGGAGGAGGAGGAGGGGAGGAGGAGGAGAGGAGGAGGGGAGGAGGAGGAGGAGGGGAGGAGGAGGAGGGTGATAAGGGTGAGGAGGGTGACAGGAGGAGGAGGAGGAGGAGGGAGGAGGAGGAGGAGGAGGAGGAGGAGGAGGAGGAGGAGGAGGATGAGGAGGAGTATGATGGTCAGCAGAGGAGGAGGAGGGTGATGAGGGTGAGGAGGGTGACAAGGAGGAGGAGGAGGAGGAGGAGGAGGAGGAGGAGGAGGAGGAGGAGGAGGAGGTGGAGGGGGAGGAGGAGGAGGACCAGTGTAAACTCAAGACCCAGCAGCGATATTGCAATACACCCTCCCTCCAAGTTCTTTCTTCATAGGCCCCTGCAAGAGTTCATTTTCTCTCAGGGGTGTGCCCCGTCTGAAGACAACCGCTTGAGTGCCCCGTCTGAAGACAACCGTTTGGAAATTCATAACTTCGCCAGGGCGCCATTTTCATGGGACTTCAACGGAGCGAATCATCGTTATTGTTGCGCCTCGAGGTTGCGCCCTAAAATCGTCAGAGTCTTTAGGCCAAAGCCATTTCGGGGACGCCAGCCGTTCGAATGATTGAAACTTTTGTGCATTTTGAGATATGTGTGCGCAACGCTCTGGCCATAGGCACATTTTGAAATGGTATCGCTCTCCATCCGTAAGGCTCTTGTTTTTTTCTAAGACGATTGTTCGCGGCGCTTAGGCGAAAACCACATTTTGACATTGGGCCGCCCTTGACCCGTAAAACGCTTGCAAATCTTTCAGACGATTATACGTGGCGCACAGGCGATAGCCACATGTTGAAAAAGGAACCGCCCTCTATCAGTGAAGTTTTGTTTTGTTATTATTAGTATTATTATTATTGTTATTGTTATTGTTATTATTATTATTATTATTACTACCTTCATTTTTTATTATCATTTTTTCCTTTTAAAAAATATTATAATCATTATTAGTTCTATTATCATTATTCTTATACTATTTACTCTGATTCCTTATTTGTTGTTTAAGTTTTGCAACGAATGTGCGCGGCGTGAAGGCGATACCCACATTTTGAAAGCTGGCCGTCCTCGATACGTGAAATTCTTGCAAATTCAAGGTCAGGATCATAATAGATGAGGAACCCTCAGGCGAAACGCCCGGCCCGCCCTTTCGACTGGCCTCGGGGTGCGACAGGGAGGACTTAGTTATAAGGAGGAGGGATGGGGGAGGAGGAGGAGGAGGAGGAGGAGGAGGAGGAGGAGGAGGAGGAGGAGGACGAGGAAGACGAGGAGGAGAAGGAGGGGGAGGAGGAAGGGGAGGAGCAGGAGCAGGAGGAGGACCAGTGTAAACCTAGGAGTCGTCAGCGATGTTGGAGTTAATCCTCCCTACAAGTTCCCTCTTCAAAGGCCCCTACTACGGTTCATGTCCATTGAGGGAACTGCCTCGTCTGAAGACAACCGTTTGAAGACCCTGAAGCATGCCAAATCTCTGTTCTCGGTACTGTACTGCTGCGTCTTGACGATCCAGAATCGTGCCAGAACGCCGTTTTTTGATTTCAACACCGCGAATCAACATAGCTGTTGCACCCGCGTAATCCTGACTTCTTCCAAAACGTCTTTTCTGGTACGTTGATCATGGGAATCCGTGAAACCCTCGCAAATGTTTAAAACGAATGTGCGTGGCGCTCAAGCGAGAGGCACATTTTGAAAACCACCGCCCTCAATCCGTGAAGCTCCTGCAAATTTTAAAACGAATGTGCGCGGCGCTAAGGCGATAGCCACAATTTGAAAACCAGCCGTCCTCAATCCGTGAAGCTCTTGCAAGTCCCCAATCAGAGCTTGCCTCTGTAGGGGTCCTAGTGGATTCGCATGGTAAGGTGAGGTATGCCGCCGATTTCGCCGGCTCGCCCGGGTGCCCGTGTACCCGGAAGCCTTATAGCGCTATAACCCTATAGCCTCATAGCCCTATAGCCCTACAGCCCTGTATCCCTCTAGCCCTACAGCCGTCTAGCCGTGTAGCCCTATAGCCCTATAGCCCTATAGCCCTATAGCCCAATAACCCTATAGACCTGTAGCCCTATAGCTTTATAGCCTTATAGCCCTATAGCCCTACAGCCCTATAGCCCTATAGCCCTGTAGTCCTATAGCCTTGTAGCCCTATAGCCCTGTAGCCCTATAGCCCTATAGCCATATAGCCCTGTAGTCCTACAGCCTTGTAGCCCTATAGCCCTATAGCCCTATAATCCTATAGCCCTACAGCCTTATAGTCGTATAACCCTATAGCCCAATAGCTCCACAATCTTATAGTCCTAAAGCCCTACAGCCCTATAATCCTATAGCCCTGTAACCCTGTAGCATGATAGCCACACATCCTTTTACCCCAATAGCCCTATAGCCCTATAGCCCAATCGCCCTGCATTCCTATAGCCCTATAGCCCTATAGCCCTATAGCCCTATAGCCCTATAGCTCTATACCCCTGTAGCCCTATAACCCTATAGCCTTACAGCCCTATAGCCCTATAGCCCTATAGCCCTATAGCCCTATAGTCCTCTAGCCCTATGTGCCTATCGCCCTATAGCCCTATGGCCCTATAGCCCTATGGTCTTGTAGCCCTATAGCCCCATAGCTCTATAGCCCTAAACAAATTTGACTATTTTTGTTCTCCTGCATTTAAACAACAACGAATGTTCGCGGCGCTCAGGCGAGAATCACATTTTGAAAACGATCCGCCCTCAATCCGTGAAGCTCTTGCATTGTTTTAAAAGGAATGTGCGCGGCACTTAGGTGAGAGCCACATTTTTAAAACCACCCGCCCTCAATCCGTGAAGCTCTTGCACATTTTTCAAACGAATGCGCGCAGCGCTAAAGCGAGAACCACACTATGAAAGCCACCCGCCCTCCATCCGTGAAACTGTTGCTACTTCTCAATGTTCAGAGTCTTACATGGTGAGGAAGTCTCAGGCGAAACGCCCAGCCCGCCCTAAAAACTGGCCTCGGGGTGCGACAGGGAGAAGTTCTTTATAAGGAAAAGGAATGGAGAAGGAGGAGGAGGAGGCGGAGGAGGAAGAGGATATGGAAAAGGATGAGGCGGAGGAAGAGGAGGAGGTGGAGGAGGAGGAGGAAGAGGAGGAGGAGGAGGAGGAGCAGGAGGAAGAGGGAGAGAGGAGGGCGGAGGAGGGGGGAGGAGGTGAAGGAGGAGTGGGATGGGTAGGAGGGGGAAGAGGAGGGGGACCCTCCTCTTCATCCGTGCCCCTGGTGATGTCGCAGGTTTTCTGCCGTCCGCGACTCATTCATCACATTCAGACTTGCTCATTCTCAGGCTCGCTCGAACTCAGACTCTCCCACACCCAGATCAAACCACCCTCATACTCACTAGCAATCAGACTCATTAGCCCTCAGACTCACCCACACGCACACTACCTCGCACTCCTGCTCACTCATTTTCAGATTTGCATTCGCCAGCCTCGAACCCAGACTCACCCATACCAAGCTCACGCACACTCAGACCCGCTCGCCCCTAGACTCGCTTGCTGACTGTACCCGGACTCCCTGGCATTCAGGCTCGATCATACCCGGATCCATTCACACTTCGACTCCTTCACACTCAGATCACCCACGCTCATATTCACTCGCACCTCACGCACGCACGCGTGGTTACGGCGATAAAGCCGGCGTGGCACTTGGGAACCTCGTCTGCCAACAGGCACCGCGAGCAGCACGCCAGAGAGCGGGCGTAGCAGCGCCGTGCGCGCTTGCCTGAGTTGCCGCGGGGAGAACGGCAAGCGCCACTCTCCCTCGCTCTTCCACTTGCGTTTCCCTCGCCTCTCCTGAAAGATGTCCAGAGGAGGAGGAGGAGGAGGAGGAGGAGGAGGAGGAGGAGGAGGAGGAGGGCGTCACTGATGTCGTCACTGTCGTATTCGTCATTGCTGCGCCTGCCGATTACGCGGATTCGCTCTCACACCCAGATGCTCATAGACAGAGCTCCTTAACGAAACGCGCCAGGAGTATGAGATGCAAACGCGGAGGTCTTCGCGCCGAGTAACTTTGCCAGGGGTCGTGGCGTTGGGGGCGCGGATCCGTTGTCTTGTGCGAGGGGGCGCGGCCTCGGGAGCAGAGGGGGGATGCGCGCACCAGTCCGCGGGTTGAAGAGGAGTTCGCTTATTTGAATGCACACATCCCAGTAGCCCTAAGAAAACCCCGAAGGTCTCCCAGAGGCCCCCGCGGTGCTTCAAGATACCCCGGGGCGGTTCCAACAACTGGCTCAAACAATTACGAGGACCCCCCTCGTGCTCCTTACCGTCCTTCGTCGTCGTCGTCGTCGTCGTCGTCCTTCTCTTCTTCCTCTCCATTCCTCCTCGTGCTCGTCCTCCTCCATCTCTTCTCCGTGCTTGGTCCTGTCTTCTTGCTCGTGGTCCTCCTGCTCCCTCCGCTGCCGTCCCCACCATCCACGCTGTCGTCCTCGTCGTCCGCTGTCTTGTCGTCGCTATCATTGATCCCTGTGGTCCGTCTTCCCTTACGAGCCCAATGAGCAAATTCGGCGCCTCCCGTTCTTTTCTGATCAGGTTTCTCTGGGCGGGGCCAGGTCGGATCTGATCGCGGGACAGCGGACCATGGTTCGTTAATGGAGGAATTGGGATCTCGGTGTTTGATTATGTGGATATCCGGAGGATATAATTAACAAAAGCCCAGCACGAAGGGTAGGTGGGGGGGCAGAGAGGGCCGCTTTCGTCAGCTTGCCGTGGCCATTTTGGCACGAGCCATCGCTGACGCGCGATCCTTTTTGGCGTTTGCACACCAAAGGCCAAAAAGGCGTTTGGGGGCAACTTGGAAGAAGTGCCCCCCCGCTAGGTTGAGCCATGGAGGAATCGGGATTTCTATTGCAATTCGTACCATTTTCACTCCCAGTTCGATGCTCCGCACAGGGACTCTGGATCTCGTTGGAAGTGGTGGAAGATGGGGAGGCCCCGATCGGTACTTTACGTTATGTCCCCTCCATGGCGTGCTCCTGACATTGGTGATCAGGAATGATCGGCCCTAGTCTTTTGCTTTATTGTTCTTTGGAATCGCTTTTTTGGCTCAAGCGGTTCCGATCTAGGTTGCCACATCTCGCGGCGGCCTTGCGAGCACCCGCTCCCTGTCAGGCTTCTCACTCGACCAGGAGGCCCATTCGACACAATGCGTGAGGCGATCTGCATCCACATTGGCCAGGCAGGAGTGCAGATTGGAAATGCATGCTGGGAGCTCTTTTGCCTCGAGCATGGCATCCAGCCCGACGGCCAAATGCCCTCCGATAAGACAATCGGGGGCGGTGACGATGCCTTCAACACGTTCTTCTCCGAGACTGGTGCCGGCAAGCACGTCCCCCGCTGTGTGTTCGTCGACCTGGAGCCCACGGTGGTCGATGAAGTGCGCACAGGCACGTACCGTCAACTGTTCCATCCAGAGCAGCTCATTTCTGGTAAGGAGGACGCCGCGAACAATTTCGCGCGCGGGCACTACACAATCGGCAAGGAGATCGTCGACCTCGTGCTCGATCGGATCAGGAAGCTGGCCGACAACTGCACAGGCCTCCAGGGCTTCATGATCTACAACGCCGTCGGCGGAGGCACTGGCTCCGGGCTCGGCTGCCTGATGCTGGAGCGCCTGTCCGTGGACTACGGCAAGAAGACGAAGGTCTCCTTCACCGTGTGGGCGTGCCCGCAGGTCGCCACCGCAGTGGTGGAGCCTTACAACACGGTGCTCTGCGTGCACTCTCTTCTGGAACACACAGACGTGACCATCATGTACGACAACGAGGCGTTGTACGACATTTGCCGCCGCAACCTTGACATCGAGCGTCCAACTTACACCAATCTTAACAGGCTGCTGGCGCAGATCATCTCCTCGCTGACTGCGTCGTTGCGCTTCGACGGTGCTCTGAATGTGGATATCACAGAGTTCCAGACCAACTTGGTACCCTACCCGCGCATCCACTTCATGCTGTCGAGCTACGCACCAGTGATCTCTGCGGAGAAAGCGTACCATGAGCAGCTGTCAGTAGCGGAGATCACCATGTCCGTTTTCGAGCCCGCATCCATGTACGTGAAGTGCGATCCTCGTCATGGCAAGTACATGGCATGCTGTATGATGTACCGTGGAGACGTCGTGCCCAAGGATGTGAACGCAGCGGTTGCTACTATCAAGACCAAGCGTACCATCCAGTTTGTGGATTGGTGCCCCACAGGCTTCAAGTGCGGTATCAATTACCAGCCTCCTACTGTGGTTCCCGGCGGTGACCTGGCCAAGGTGATGCGTGCCTGCTGCATGATCAGCAACTCCACAGCCATCGCAGAGGTTTTCTCTCGCATCGACCACAAGTTCGACCTCATGTACTCGAAGCGCGCTTTCGTGCACTGGTATGTGGGCGAGGGCATGGAGGAGGGTGAGTTCTCCGAGGCTCGCGAGGACCTGGCGGCGCTGGAGAAGGATTACGAGGAGGTTGGCATCGAGACCGCGGAGGGCGAGGGCGAGGAGGAGGGCTACGGCGACGAGTTCTGAGCAGGCTGCCACATAGCAGCTGTACAGGAGAGGCGTACACAGAATCGCGACAGGTTACTTGCAAGCTGCAAGCGCATACCGTTGAGAGAGCATGTTTCCACGCTGTCCCTCAAAGACCAGCATTCTTTTTACGCGGAAGGTCGACGTGTTTTCCACGCGGACCGCTTGCTGTTCATTCGCGCGCCACACCTCCACTCGAGGTGGCCGAACTGATAGACTGCCTCGTGCCACTGCCACCGTTCCCTTAGCGCTTGCACAGAAACACAAACAAATTATTGTTCTTTGGGATCATAATAATGGAATGTTTTTTTTCGCCGAGCGATCCGTTTGTACATCAAACGACCCTGGTTCATCATCACATTACTTCGTTACGCAGTTGTGTGTATCATTCTTCCATGATAACACACGGTCGGCGAACAATCTAGCTTTGTCCTCCAGGATTCTACGTCGCGATGAATCTATGGCATCGCGGAAACAAATACGACCCGAGCCCAGAACGACCCATCTTCCTGGCGCATCTCTCTTGCCGGCTCGAAGCTGGGCGACAGCGCTCACGATTGACTTGCAACAAGTGAGACGCCGGCTTTGAGGGGTGGAGGAGGAGCGTGAGGGTTCATGAGAGGTTGAGTTCCTACGGAGTGCTCTGCCTCTGTCTGGGCGCAGTCCGTCTGGACGCAGTCTCTCCTGCCAGGAGTCCAAGTCCATATGGCGTAAGTCCATACCGAGTGCTCGGTCCCCGTCTGGGCTTCCTCTCCGTCTGGACCTATCTGCGGATATGCATAGAATTCGTCGCCCTAGGAGGAGCGGGCTGACGATATTGTGCTCGCGCTCATCCGTATCGAGCGCCCTCCGCGCCGAGGTGGGATCCACACGCGATCCTGGGCGTGCGGCTGTCGGCGACGCGGCAGGCC